CTTATCACCATTCAGGTAAATGGTGTAGAGGCCAGAGGTGGTGTCCCCATTCAGCATTGCTTGGGAGCAGTCCCGGGGGAATGGGTACAGGAGCCCAGCTGCAGGATAAGAAGGGAGAGTGGGCCTCTTAGAGCAGGAAGATTGGGGTAGGAGCTTTCAGACTGCAGCCCCACTGCATGCTGCCTGGATGTCTAGAGGCAAGCAGCTTGACCTCTCTCCGGTTCCGTTCTCTTGTGTGCAAGTCGGGGATAAAGCCTCTTTCGCAGCAGTGCAATGAGGGTTTAAAGATTATGGCTGTAAGGCACCCAGCTCCATCCCTTCTATTCATGGAGGTCACCAGTGATGTCAGCGGGGTGGTGGGGTGAGAACAGATCTGCTCTGAGGAACGAGTATCAGGCTGACCTTGATCTACCTCGAGCAGACCCAGGTCCTGGCAGGATGGCTGGGTGTCTAGCTCAAGTCGGTGGCTCGCTGTGGATCAGGGCACTCTATGGAGCATCTAACAAGCATGCTTTCCGAATTCTTCAGAGGATTTGGGAGCCAAAGACGAAAGTTCTAGTCTTGAACTTGTACTCCTTTGCCTCAGGACCCTGGAGAAGTCATTTAACTGCTCTGAGCCTGGGAGGGACCAAACACGAATGCCTGGGAAACGTTCAAGTGCTCTAATGTGATGCAAAGCAACGTCAAACTTGACAGAAACGCAATCTTGGGCTATGCCGAGCAGGTGGGACAGAGAGTTAGCTGTTCTGACCTGACCCCTTCTGGCAAAGGGGACCCTGGCTTCTGCAGCAACGTCAGCAGGGGTGTGCAGAGTGACTGGAGCCGTATGTGAAGGGCAGGAGGCACTGGGATGCCCTCTGGGTACCGCACGCTCAGGGCTTTCCAGAGGCCCCTCTCCCCCTCTCAGGAATGTGCACGTCCTCTGAATTCACCAGAGAAATGCCTTGCACGTTTGCTGTCTGCAGACCACACCTGGTGGCCACGCCTGGAACTCCCGAGCCCAGATCTCCCTCTCACTCATGCTAGAACCTACAGTCATTTCATCTCTGGGAGCCTCTGCTACCCCTGCAGAAAACGGGACCTGATGATCCTACCAGCTTGGTGGGAGGACTGGTTTTGATTTTGATCATGGGTGGGTTTTGTAATGGCCCACACGCTGAAGGAAAAAAAGGCCTCAGCTTATAGTGAGCCCAGCCCCTGGTCCGCACACTGGGCTAGGGGCTCAGAGAGCACAGGGGTCTTGTGAGGAAGGGATACTTGTGAATCCCATAGATAAAGAAACTGAGGCTTGCAGAGTGGCAGTAACTTTCCTAAATCACCCAGAGCAAGTGGTGGAGATGGGGCTTGTGTCCAGAGCTCTCACTACTGGCCCTCCTTCCCTCTCACCACGAGGTCCTTAACCTTCTGCACCCACATTCCTCGGGCTTGCAGGGAGAGGCAGGCACTGATCCTTTTAAGAGATTTGAGGGAAAAACTCAGTCATAGTCAGAGGAGAAGTTGAGGGTTGGTCTTGTCTCACAAAGTTCGATCTCAAAGCCCAGCGGCACCCGGAGCCCCTTACTTGTGGTAAAGACAGTCTGGACCAGCTTGCTCCTCAGGGGCCCGTTCAGTGCCTGGATCTTGGCCGTGTAGTGGGTGGAGGGGCTCAGCTCCGCCAGGCTATAGGAGGTGGTTTCTGGACCCAGAATGACTTCCTAGGGGCAGAAGAAGGAATGTAATAGTCCTTTGCCACATAAATCCTCAGGGTATAGATGATACATTCATTCATTCACCCATCCATTCATTTCTTCATTCAAAAGGATCCACTGAGTCTCACTCGATGTCAGGCTCCATGCTCACTTCTGGACATGAGAGACAGGGGAGGGCAGCATGAGCAAAGGTCCTGAGGCCAGAAGGGACAGAGGAGGAAGTAATAACCTAGGTGAACCACACTTTGTGCTGGGTGCTGGAGTGGTGGAAGAAGTGGGCAAAGACCTGATTACAAAGGGCCTTAAAGTGCCAAGCTACGGAACTTGAAGCTTATCATGATAAGGAATGCAGATTCCCAAAAAGTTTTTGAACAAGTGAATGAAGTGAACCCAGCTTAACTTGGAAGCAAGATGAATGACACAAAGGGCAAAGGGTTTAGATTCTCAGACCAGTTATATCAGTGGTCCCTAATAAGGCTCTTTCTCACGGTCCTTCGGGAAGCTTGAAAATAATACAAAGCCTGGGCTCCATCCCAGACTGGCCACATCGTAAGAGCTGGAAGTGGGGCTCTCCCAGGCACATACTGAAGAAGCTCCCCGAGCTGTTCGGATGCAGTCAGCGTGGGGATCTCGAGTCAAGGGATGACTGCAGGAGCTCAGCAGGCAAGAGCAAAGGCCTGAGCCGACCCAGCATGTCTCCTTCTAGAACAGAGATATCCAGGAGAGGCATGTGTGTCCCTCCACCACCAGACCTCTTCGCACTCCCCCCTGTAGTTTGTGACTGCTCACGGCACTGCTGTCTGGAGAACATTTGTTTCAGCTTTCAGGAAGTCTTCCTCCTTTTCAAATCCTCTTTCCAGCTTCCAACGCCAGCGAATTCACTTTTTAGCAGATGACCTTGGTGTCTGGTATTCAACCTACGCTGCTAGCAAACCCAGCCCAGCTGTGCTGTGACCTGCAAACACGGCTGGCGAGGTTTAGACAATACTGAGTCAGTGCGGAGGTCCCGCAAGGTTCTCTCGCATCCTCACGCTGGGCAGGTGGGCTCTCCTGATTCTTCCATGGGGGAGGGGGGCGGGGGACTGACTTCCAGAGAAGCTGAGGGACCCACTCTCACTCCGTAAGTGGTGGGGGCAGGGGCCAGTCTTAACTCCTGTCTCCCCACAACCTGTCCAGGACTCTCTCCTCCTGCACCAGGTTGGTTTTCTTGAGTGAAACATACAGTGATGGGGACTAGACATGCAGGAAGGTAAGTCAGTAGGCTGACACATGTGACCCAGTGACCTTTACGTGGCCCCCAGGTCTGGTCCCTGGGGAAGGATCAGCTATTAAGCTGGGTTCATTGAATTACTTGGGGATAAAATTACGACTCAGCTCTCTCAGCGGCTGTGCGAAGTCCTTTTCTAGGCAATCAGGGTAGATTGAAATGAGGCTCAGGACTTGAGGTAAGCTCAGTTCTAGGAAGGGGGCTGGTAAGTCCACTGCACTCATTTTACAAATGGGAACACGACACCCAGAGAAGTTGAGGGACTTGCCTCCACGCACACAGTGAGTCAGTCTGTTGTTCTGCCAAGTCAAAGAAGGGCCACGGGAGTAACTAGAAATGTGTGTCCACTTCTAGTCAAACATGGTGGATTGGACATACCAGTTTAGCTCTGCTTTCTTTTAGAATGAGAGTGAAGGGACAGAAAGTACAAGTCCATGAGGATGAAGTGGATGACAGATGAGACAGACAGAGGCATGCCATGTCCACAGAATCCTGACGGATGGGAAGGGCTGCGGTGGGGTACCGAGCGAGGGGACAGAACCCAGCAGGCTGCGGGGAGAGCTGGCTGAGTGGGGGTGGGGGGCCAGCCCGAGGCTGGCTGACGAATGCCGCAGGGCCCAGCAAGTTCAGGAACGGAATGTGTACAAAAGCAAAGATGCCTTTGAAGGCCAGTGTGGGGCATGGCTGAACAAAAGTTTGTTTAACAGCTTAAATAAGGAACAGATTCCAAGTTCTCCCCATTTCCCTAACCACCCACCCCACCCCGCCCGCCCCAGTCTGGATGGCTGTCCTTCCCAGTCCAGATGAAAGGCTGAGGTGTACTCTCTGGAGACACTGAGCCAGAAAGAAGACTCTGGATTCCAGCCCGCCAGGCCCAGCGGAGCTATCTGGGAACAGAATTAAAGGTGTGTGCACCGCGGGGGCCCAGGCTCCTCCTCCAACTCCACTCCAGGCAGCTTGGCTTGAAGGAGTTGGAGGATCCTCTAGGGAGGTGGATTAGGTCAAGAGAAAAGGCTTACGGAGCTGTTACTTTCGAGTCCCCCAACAAAATCGCTGGGCACTTGCTTATTCTGCGGTAAGCCCTGTAGCCCCGTTAGTTGGCAAGCCCTGTGTCTGCCGTCGGAAGTCCCAATAAGCTGTTTCGTTCTTGACTCAAGTACAAAAGGACCATCAGACCCTGGGCTGAAGTCTCCACCATGAAAGATGAAGACCCAAACCAAACAACAGCAGTGAAACAGAAAAAGAATGAACGGACGAATGAATAGAACTTGGAGACACTATAAAGGTTGTAGAATAAAACACCAGTAACAGGGCGCCTGGGTGGCTCAGTGGGTTAAGCCTCTGCCTTCTGCTCAGGTCGAGTCCCACATCGGGCTCTCTGCTCAGCAGGGAGCCTGCTTCCCCACCCACCCCCGCCTGTCTCTCGGCCTACTTGGGATGTCTCTCTGTGTGTCAAATAAATAAATAAAATATTAAAAAAACCCACCAGTAACATATACTCTTAGAGATAAAGAGGAGAGGATAGGCGGGATACAAACAATATGCAAGAGAAAGACGGATGAGCCCAGAATAAGGAAAAGATTGTGGAAATGTAGAGTGTGATGACCAAAATGAAAAGTTCAACAATGAGTTCAGAAAATAAAGTTTAGAGATCAAGTTCACTTGCGTGAAAGGAAGGGCTAAAGTTATTTCAAATTGGAAGGTAAAAGAAAAGATGTTAAGGGGCAGAGAATATAAATAACATTTGTCGTAAATAGTATTAATAATTGTCATAAGAACGTGGTGACGTATGTTTCAATATATAATGGAATGACGCCATCGTGATATTGTATCTATGGTGAAGATGCTAAAGAAACCCTTGGCTTTTGCTCAATAAAACATTAAAAGACCATGCAACAAGCTCCTAGAACGTCCGCAAGTCTTGTGAGCAGTGGTTCTTGACCTATGAAAACTGGGATTCTGGTTAAAGGGAGACAGGGAGGCTGGAGATATGATTGAGAAGGTCTGGCATGGCATCCAATCCCTGTTAATTTTTTTGTTTTCAGCTGCCTAGCTGCACTGAGATGTAGAAACAGCCCCGGGGTGATTCTTCTTTCCACTGAGGATCACGTCCAAGTTTCAAATGGGAGTGGGGAGTTTATATACTGCAAGATACCTTGACTGTGCCATCGACAGATTCATACACCAATAGGTAACCGGTGACCGACGCCCGGGGGGCTCTCCAGGTGAGGAGGGCGGTTTCCGACTGAACTTCAGTAGCAGTCAAGTCTCTTGGAGAATCAAGGTCTGCAGAAGGTAAGTCATTTGTCAGCAAATATGTCAGCAACTCTAGGTCAAAACTCCCTTGGCTGGGTTGTCAGGAAGCCTGGCTTTCCCTACCGTTCATCTACAGGACCTTGGGCGGAACCTTTCCCATCTGTAATGAGGAGGCTGAGTCATGTGATCTCTGAAGACAGAATTCTCTGTGGTTCGTTTCATCCTGAAGGTCAGATTTTCCTGAGCCCAACACACTCTAGATTGGCCTTGGGTGGATTTGGGGAGAAAGACACAGCTGGGAACATGATTCCCAACCCCTCTGGGTCCTGAATAAGCAAGCAGGCAGATGAATATTAATATTGGCATTCACCCCTACCACAAGAGGATGCTTCTTCACTTTCCCTGCCTGCTGCAGTTTGCAAAAAGATCTCAATATATAAAAACCTAATGGACATCTAGGAAAACATGCCTGAAAAATCCTTCTCTTAAAAATATTTCCCTGCCTAGAACAAGGATCATTAAATACTGGGTTGAGGGCCAATGGGGACTGGTTTTACACTTTAAAAAAGCCCTCATCTTAAAACCATTTCCTAGTCCATGGGGAGAACGTGGTCATTTCAGTTCAAAAGGAAATGATGGGTTTCTTAAGGTCCTGATTGAGGGGGCGCTGGTGAATTTAGCTGATGCTGATGTCATCACATTGCCAGGGTCTGACTTAAGAAAGAAGGGGTTGGAGAGCATGGCTGTTTAAGATGGAGGCTGTGGGTGGGCTGCTTCCAGCTCCCGGCGTCTCTGTACCTGTTGTGAACTTAGCAGTGATGACGGAGCTCTTCTGGGGCCCTTTCTCTGCAAAGATCCTCAGTGTGTACTCCGTGGCAGGCTCGAGGTCGGTCAGAGCGTACTCCACCGTGTTCCCGGACACTGTGCGCGTAATTTCTGGCACTAAACATGAAATACACACAGCGAGGCGGTTACCGCTCGCCGTGCTAGCCATCAGCACACTTGGCACATGGTGCACACACCTACTTCTAGCAGAAACTTTCAGGGACCCTGCGGAAAAGCAAGTCTAATTTCTGAAATGACTCACGCCCTGTTTTCTCTCTTGATCGCTCACCCCATACACAAAGGATTTATCATATGGAGACTGGATTTTTCCACACATCAAATCGGGAGGAAGGGGACCTGGGGATCAGGAGGTGTTGCCATATGGCGCTGTCTGGGGGAGCTTTGCAGCAGAGGCTCAGGAACCAGCTGGAGGAGAGCTGCAGCTAACATCTCCAAGCCTCAGGCTGCCCAGATTTAATGCTACTTGCTCTCCCCTCTTTTTCACTTACTCTCATGTGCTTTTATAATCTGACAAACGTTGTTAAATCATGAGGCTGGAGAACCACAAAAATCGGGCAGCTGCAGATATACTAAAGCCTCGTTACTGCATCTCAGACCCATTGGGTCAAGTCCAGTGGGGAAACGAAAGCATGGCGCCAGGTGGGTGTGTTTATTTCCTGATCACAGGTGACCAACCACCTGGGCTGGCCGGGGACTGAGAGATTTCCCAGGGTATGGGACTTTCAGTACTGGAACTGGGAAAGTCCTGGGTAACCTGGGATGAGTTGATCGTCTTGTTTCTCACCCACGAAACCCACTCTCGTGGACCAGGCTCTTTTCTAGGTCTGCCTCTACTAATCCCATATTCCCTGTGAACAATGCTTGGGTTCACTGTAGGTACATCACCAGCTGCCCTGACTCAGAGTTCGCTCATTGGGAATATTTAAGAATTGAAGAGATGAATGAGTGAATGAATAGAAGAATAAAAAGAACAACCCCCCAAATCTCTCTTCCCACACTCTCCAGCTTGCTCTATGCCCATAAAGAACTCTCTTAAGTAGTGGCCCAGGAGTGAATGCAGACTTTCAGAGGCTCCAGGCATGGGTCACGGCGTCCCTACATGTTGTCACTGCATGTAAAACAATCCTGAACTGAAAAATAGGAAACTTACATATGCCTTGGGATTCAGATAGTGAAGTCTTCTTCTAGAGTAGCTCATTACAAAAGCATGAATTGATTCTCTGAAAAACAATCTCTTTCTCCTCTCTCTTACTTGTATTTGATCTTATGTTTTGGTGGCCATGATGTGTTGGTGCCCCAAACAAGTGTTTAGTCAGCCAACTAAGCAAATTAATTAGCACAGATGTCTGCAAACATGAGGACAAAAATTTCTGATTTCTCAATTGCATCTGTTACCTCCTCTGTAGCCTCTAAGAGGCCCAGGATCCCCAGTGCCCCCTGAAATAGCCTGTTTATGACTATGGATTCTAAACTCATTCTTTGTAAGAGATGGGAGCTGCTGCCTGGAGAGGAAGGCTCATGGTGACAGGCAGGGAGACTAACAGGTGAGGGGGACAGGCTGGGGGAACACATGCATGCTGGAGATGTGCCCTTAGTTTTCCTCTAAATGGCCTACTGGCCTTCCTTGGTATAACCACAACATTGATGCCCTTCACTTGTCAAAAAGCAGGGGAGGATGGGTGAGGTCTCCCTTGCTTCCCTCTGGCCAGGACCTCCTCACCGGCCTATCCAGCCCCGGCTTCAGCCCATGAGTCTATTCTGAGAACCACAAGGACATCACTGGCCTTCTCAAGCTACCCATGTATTTTTGCCATCTTGGGCCAAACATGACAGGGAAGAGGAAGAACGACACAACAGACACTCCTCCTGGTGGGGAGGGTCTTAGACATGGCCTTACCTCTCTCCCCTGTGTAGGAGATGATGTAATTATCCACGGGGGCGATGGCTGGCTGCCACATGGCCAGGGCTTCCGTGTCGGTGATGTTGGCTGTCACCAGGCCAGATGGGCCATCCAGAGCTGCAAAGAAAGATGATGATATGTTGGAGAGCTAGGCCATGGTGGGGTCAGACATCAGCCCACAGCTGCTCCGCTCTTTCACTGCTCCTGGACTCCTGGGGTTAGGACACGGCGCCTGGTGTGCGCAGAGTTCCGCATCCTGAGTCTGGAGTGGGGACGCCCTGGGTTTGAGTCATGATGCCTTCCCTTGCTGCCTGGGCTCTCTTGGGTCACTGTGTCCCCACTTGTGCAAGGGGCATCCTCATTCTGTCTGGCTTTATCCTCAGTGATACTCTGGGGCTCACACGATAGTGGAGGTGGAAAGGAGCTGTATAAACATCATAGGGGTTATCGCTGTGGTTCATCACTGTTCCCAGGGCAAGAACTTACAAAACGGGGAGCCTCCCAGAGTCAGGGCTGCCAGAGGCTCTTCTGGGCTTTGAGTGAGAGCACCAGTAAGGGGGTTGGTGGGCACTGTGGAGCCCCAGAATCTGTCAGTCCCCGGTTCTAGTGTGCCTTCTCTGCCTAGCGTCTGTGTGCCCTTCTCCAAACCTCATTTCTTCAGGTGTCCCAGGGCAGCTGCTAGAAGGATCAACGAGGCACTGCATGTGTGAAACGTGCTGGGGCAACGCTCGGTCATGGGCGCTGCTATTAGTAACATGGCTGTTAACATCACTGGCATCTTTGACGTGATTCCCAAATGACTTGTATTGACAGAGGACGCTGGCCTGTTTAACCGACCCCTGCAACGACCCAGCATCCCTTTCTCAGAAGTTAATGTAAATAGGACTATGATCTTCTTGCATTTGCATTTATGACTCAATTATCCCAGGACAACAGCGCTGGGAGGCTGGAGGGCAGCTGTCAGCAGCTCATTTCAGAGACGAGGCTCCTGAGCCCCAAGAGATGTGATGACCGGCCTGAGAAGCAGGCGGAGGCGGGGTACTTTCGGGAGCCCACATGGTCGGCTCCGAGCTCCTTCTTGCTTCAGCCCGTCTGTACAGGATCTCCTTTAAATGTCCAGGACAATGGGCCTCGGGAGGGAGTGCATCCACCGTCTGCAACCGGAGAGCCCATGAATGAAAGATTTCTATGGGGGAAATACGGGCCTGTGTGGAGAGCAGAGAGGACTCTGGGTTCAGATGGGATGTTATAATTGCATATAATCAACTCTTTTCGACTATTAGGGTATTTTTAAAATTTCCTATGAGGCCCGCTCTTTGGATCCCTTAATGGATTAGACTGGATAATTGCTCTTCTATCAAAGGATAAATTGTTCAGAGACATGGCTGCCTGAAGAGAAATTTTCCACTTCATTCTCCCTCAATGCAATTCATTATTTCCCCCTCCTTACAGTACGTTGTACAAATCAGGTTATAATAGGAAAATAATCCTCTATTTTAGAAGAACACGAGGCTTGGAGTGAGACTGACCTAAGTTCAAATTTGCTCCAGCATGTAGTAGTTCGGTGGCCTTGGCCAAGGTATTTCTTTTCCCTGGATCTCAGTTTTTTCCTCTGTAAAATGGGAATGATAGAAGGCATTTTCCTGGTTTAAATGCACAGGGTTTAATAGCAGTGCCTGGCATGCAGGAGCTGCCCAGTTAGGAACGGTTACTTTAAAGCAATCCCTGTTCTCTGTCTGTGCGAGGCACCTGCTTGAAAGGATTCCCGGTGGATTCACGTGCACAGTCATTTACATCTACAGGTTGTTTTGAATAGATCATGTCATAAATTATGGCACCCTGCAAAGGAAGCAGAATTGTACCCATTTTACAGAACAGGAAACTAGATCCTAGAGAAATTAACTGACAGCTCACGTATCTCTAAGTGGTACACTTGGCATTTCAATGTAGGTCAGTAAGACTCCCAAACTGTGTTCTTTCTTCCACACTAACCCAAGAAATGAAGGCTCAGGACGGTGAAGGATGAAATCAAGGTTACCCTGCCTGTAAGAGGCCAGGGACCAGAAATGAGGTCTCTGGTGCTCCACATTCACTCCATTTCCCACTAGGATTTCCCCAAATAAAAGAAGTTTTTCCAGCTGTTGAGTCACAAGCAATCGTGCATAAGGTGAGAAAAACACCTGTGGTGAATGATCCTGAGACTGGTTCGCTTTCCTCGAAGCCCTTCATGGCGACAACGCTGACAAGGTACTCTGCTCCCGGTAAGAGCCTCACTAGCCTGGTCCAAGTCTTGGTTCCATCTACGATTACCACTGATGGTGTCCCTGGAACATGGCAAAAGCAAGATCAGGAATGGTGAACCTCACTAAAACTTACTATTGCCCCAAGAACGGGTGTATCTGATTTGGAAACGAAACTATATCTTGATCCAGTACCATTTTCTTGACTTCCTCTCATTTACTCCTGCCCTCTGGCATAAGAGAAGACGTCTTACTTTTTGTATAATGCTTTTTTTCCATCAGTGCAGATGCCAAAAAACCAGCCAGGAGAGGAAAAAAACATGAAGTCACAATGTGCTA